ACTTGGTGTATTTCAAGCACACTCCCCACCCTAATGTCTGGCAGTGGGTCTCTGAATTTTTTCCCAACTGCCACAGAAGGAAGTCACTCTTGCTTGCTTGCTTGCTTGCTTTTCTAGCCAAGGTTATTCTCTGTAGTTCTGCTGACCTTCAACTCACAGAGATCCAACTGCCCCCTTCCTGAGTGCTGAAATTGAGGGCATGAAGCACCTCCACTAGGGTGAGGAAGCCATTCTTATGATGGCTGAAGAAAGGACCAATCTATAAGTATAACAAAATACCATTAAGAGTCAGTTTATTGTTACTTTCTACCGCACTAGGTTTCCTGACCTCCCCTCACCTGCAACTGAATTCTGTGACTCTCAGTCTCTCCCTCAGTCCCATTTCTACTCCCGTTTTACACCTGAATCTCCCATTCCTAGTTCCTCTCTGCATCTGGGTTTCATTACACACACACACACACACACACGATAGAGAGGTAGACTTACATGTAAATCATATGTAAATACATACCATAGTTATCTTTCTGGGTCTGGGTTACCTTACTCAGGATGATTTTTCTAGTTTCTAGTTCTAGGTCTGAAAATTTCATGATGTCATTTTGTATTTACTTTTTATTTATATGAGTACACTGCAGCTGTCTTCAGACACACACTAGAAGAGTGCATCAGATCCCATTACAGATGGTTGTGAGCCACCATGTGGTTGCTGGGAATTGATCTCAGGCCCTCTGGAAGAGCAGTCAGTGCTCTTAACCATTGAGCCTTCTCTCCAGCCCAGATGTCAGGTTTTTTTAAACAGCCGAGTAATACTCTGTTGTGTAGATGTATCATTATTCCCGTTGATCAAGAGTAAAGACCATCACCCATACTCTTTGGTCAAATCAAGCAGGCTTTATTTTCTCTAGGACAGGGCTATCTCCCCAAAGCAGGGTTTGAAAATATAGTATAGATTTTCAGTTTCATGAGGTCCCACTTACTGATTGTTGTTCTTAGTGGATGCACTATCAGAGTTCTGTTCAGAAACTCTTCTCCTGTACCAATGTATTTAAGGCTGTTGGGGTCCAGGAGTCGACTACAAACCACATTAATATGGATCTCAATCAGACAGGGACGGTTTAATGAATGCACACCCTTAGACTGATCGATCAGGGCTGTAACTCAGAATTTGAGGGCTGAGTGTGTGACCCAGAACTTTTTTTTGATGTCTAGTTATAAAGGCTAAAACCACAAATCACACAATAAGCTCACATGCAGGTGCTGGGAGTACTGCCTGGTAGTCAGTCCTGATTCAAGCCATTTTAGAAATAACAGTTCATATTGACCTTTACTTTGATGGATCTTATGTGAAGCTTATCGTTGTGGAATTTCTTAAGATTAACAAACTTCCTAACATACAGAACACAACAGGGTATGTGATCAGCGTGACCCTGCTCTGAGTCAAGTTATTTTTCTGTGAAAAAGACTGGCAGGTATATCACAGCCACAATATGAAATAGCTGGCAGGCATGGAACAAAATGGCTACAGCTATGTTAGGGTGGGGGTAATCTTCAACAAAGGCTATTCCCCACTCCCTCTTACATCAGGCTCAGAGTATTTGGTATTATGTTGAGGTCTTTGGTCCACTTGGAGTGGAGTTTTGTGCATGGTGATAAATGGATCTGTTCTTAGTCTTCTACATGCAAGTATCCAGTTTGACCAGCAACAGACGTCTTTTTTTTTTTTTTTCAGAGTGAATTTTTGGCTTCTTTATCAAAAATTAGGTAACAATATATGTCTGGATTTATGTCTGGGTCTTAAATTCAGTCTCATTGATCAATGTATCTGTTTTTATCCCAATAGTATGCTGTTTGTATCGTAACACTGTGTGTAGTACAACTTGAAATCAGGAATGATGAGACCTCCAGCATTTCCTTTATTGTTCAGGATTGTTTTAGGTATCCTGGGTTTTTTGTCTTTCCATAAGAAGCTGAAAATTGTCCTTTCAAGATCTGTGAATCATTGTAATAGAATGTTGATGGCGATTGCATTGAATCTGTAGATTGCTTTTGGAAGGCTGGCCATTTTTACTATGTTAATCCTACCAGTCCATGAGCATGGGAGATCTTTCTATCTTCTTCAAGTTTTTCCTGAAATTTTTAAAAATAGTATTGATTTAATGTACATAAATACACTGTAGCCATCTTCAGATGCACCAGAAGTGGGCATCGGATCCCATTACAGATGGTTGTGAGCCACCATGTGGATGCTGGGAATTGAACTCAGGACCCCTGGAAGAGCAGTCAGTGCTCTTAACCACTGAGCCATCTCTCTAGTCATCCTGAAGTTTGCTTTTTTTTTTTTTTTTTTAAAAGTGTTTTACTTGCTTGGTTAGATTTACCCCCAAAGTATGTTATTTGAGACAACAGTAAAAGATGTTTTTCTGATTTCTTTCTCAGTCAATTTGTTGTTTGTTTTTAGGAGGGCTACTGATTTTTCTGAGTTTATTTTGCATCCAACTACTTTGCTGAAAGTGTTTCTCAATTGAAAGCACTCACCAGTATAATTTTTAGGGTCACTTCCGAACACTATCATATCACATGCAAATAAAAGATATTTTAACTTAGTCCTTTCCAATGTGTACCCCCTTTGCCTCTTTCAGTTGTCTGATTGCTCTAGAACTTCAAGTAATGTATTGAACAGATATGGAGAGAGTGGTAGCCTTGACTTGTGCCGGATGTTAGTGGAATTGTGTAAAAGTTATGCCTGGTTCTTCCTCCCAGCCCCGTGCTCCCAGAAATAAGACTCAGACTCAAACTGTGTTTACAAATACCTTGGCCATATAACTAGGTTCTTCTCTGACTAGATCATAACTTAGAGAACCCAATTATTTTAACCTATGTTCTGCCATGTGGCTGGTTACCTGTGTTCAGGAACTACATACACATCTGTCTCCCCACATGTTCCTGGGCAGATCTTCTCGCTTGGCTCTCTCCCAGGATCCTCTTTGCCTCCCAGATTTCCCACCTCCCATTCCCTGCCCAAGCCCTAGGCTTTTTAATTGACAGGTAATAGATATATCCATATAATACATACGACACACTCTCTCTAGAATTGCTTTGAGTTCCTCTCCATTTAAGTTGCTGCTGTCTATGAGCTTTCTGTAAACGGCCTCTATTAGGCTTCGGTATGTCCCTTTCATCTGTCATCTCTACAGAACTCTTCTCACGAAGAGGTGTTGGATTTGTTAAAGGCCTTTCCTGCGTCTACTTAGAAGATCGTGCAGTTCCTTTCTTTCTGTTTGTTTGTTTCTATGGTGGATTACATTAATCGATTTTCTTATATTAAACTCGCATCTGTTGGGTGAAAAGCTTACTTGATCATGGTGGATAATCTTTTGGATGTGTTCTTGTTATATAAAGTCTGTGTGGTGGTTTGACTAGGTTTGACCCTCCATAGACTCATGGGTTTGAATGCACGTAAGGAGTGGCACTATTAGGAATGTGACTTTATTGAAGGAGGTGTAGCCTTGTTACAGGAAGTTTGATACTGTGGGGGTAAGGCTTTGAAGTCTCCTATGTCCAAGCTAGGCCCAATGTGAAACAAATCCAGTCCCCTTCTGCTGCCTTAGATGAAAACAAAACAAAACAAAACAAAACAAAACAAAACAAAACAAAGTGCAGGTTTTGTTATTTTGAGACTGGGTCTTGCTACAGAGTTCTGACTGGAAGGGAATTTACTAAGTAGCTGCTGGCCTTAAACTCACAGCAATTCTCCTGCCTTAACCTCCCTAGGGCTAAGATTATATGGCACCACATAAGGTTCTATAAGATTTATTTTAATGACTCAGATGTATTGTTGCAGGAGCAGGGGGAATGCAGGAAAGCAAGTTTCTTATTCATGTGTAAAGTATGGTTATCTTTAGCAAAACAACACAGGGAGAAGACCCTCTACAGTCTTCTGTATGTATGGAGTTGTACATATGTGGGAAGAACATTGGTAGAAGCTATACATCCTGCAGCTAGGCAGTATGTGAAGGTCACAGATAACAAAGTATGTTGTTATATTTGACTAAAATAAAAGAGAGACCTTTGGCAATGTCTGAGCAAGCTAGCTAGGGGCTAGATCAGAATGAAATACATGGAAAAAAGGTGTAGACTGAAAAGAAGGGACTTTTGTGCAGACCACGCTAGGATGTTTGATCATAAAAGGAAATTGGCCACAGGATAGTTGGGAAGCAAGCCAGTAGTCGGTGGCTACTTCCTCCTCCTCCTCCTCTTCCTCCTCTTCCTGCTCTTTTAATAGTCCAGGAATTCCTGTGGCTTTTGATAATCTAGAAGAGGAACAGTGATGAACTGACTATTGGCATTGAAGAATGTGGGTAGCAAGTGTTTTGAGGTAGTCTCCCTCTTCTTCCAGAGGACCCTATCTTCAAGATAGAAGAGGTCTTGTAGAGATAAAAATAGAGGTAGACGGAAGAAATGGATTAGGGGTCTGAGGACAGGGTCCAAGCTTGCTCTATAGCAAGCTTGAGGCCAGCCTGGAGTACATGAGACCCTGTCTCAAAACAATAGAGGTATCATTTTCGTAGACTTCAGTTTGTTTCATTGGCAGCTGTCATAGTGACACACCTTTTCTAATCTGATCTCTAACCAGTAGTATGCCTGGCACCCCTGGTGTAAGTCATGTGCGCTTTTTGAACCTTCATTTTCTCACTAGTGAAATGGAGTTATAACAATAGTTCCTACATTTTGGTAGTGCTGTGCATTAATGTACACAAAGAACTTATGGCCGAAGTACCTATGACATAGTGAATCCAAGCCATGTGACCAATGATGTCACAATGCCTCCCCAGACTCCAGCTTCTTCTTTAGAGAGTCTCAGATCCTTTGGAACCAAGGAATGGAACTAACATGCGACAGTCTGTCAACTGAAAGTTTCATGAGTTCGCTCCTTTGCCCAGATCTTGGCAAACAGTCCCTTACCGTGTGATTGTGGCTCAGAAATTATTTTTCTTTTGGTGATGATCGTGCTGGGCTGGATGCTTTTTGTTGGCCTTGCGTCCTACATGGGCACATTTCCAGAGGTGATGGTAAGTACCAGCCTTGAATCCCCGCTAAGTCTGGATCTGTCTCACACTCCCATCTGGGATTTTTGACAAAGGAGGAAAGGGTTTTTACCATTAACTGGAAGTCAAGATGTAACAGAAACGAAGCCAGTATATTCTCCTCATCCCACTGGGACATTCTTCTTTGGAGGGGTTAGTATCCCCTACCTCTGCTTAGATAGATGTCACTTGTATCCAGGCTTCATGATATTTTTAATTGTTGTGTGTGTGTGTGTGTGTGTGTGTGTGTGTTTTACAGTATTTTACACTGGACATAGTGACTAACTTAAACCAAGTTTAAAACCAAGTAGATGAGTTTCTATTAGGGACTGGGCTGGGGGTACAGTTTGAGCAGTCCCTCCCCAATCACAACACACAGCGACTTTCCTTAGCACCAGTGGGCAGGGCCATGTCTACCTGTACTTTTCTTTCTAACTCAGCCTCCAACTCTAAAGTGGAAAGAGAGGTTGCCTAGTCGGGAGAACAAGGCACGAAGAAGGATCCAAGTTTTGGAGGAGGAGCTGCTGCTATGAGTGAGGCAGGTCTGTTGGTCTGGGTCCCCCTATCCACAGATAACACCCTGCAGGCTCAGGGGGAAGTTTTACCCCCCTTGTGGGAGACAGGCAAACCATAGAAGGGGAAGAAGCCTGTGGGCTACTTCTGGGGAAAGGCTGAGGATGGCCAGTCTGTCATTAACTGTGCCTTACATTGTTTCTTCTAAACAACTTCCATTTAATATTCCCTTCCTTCTCAAACCATATTAGCATATGTTAACCATCTAAACTATTTTATCACATATGTGTAATAACAATTATATTAAGAGCATCTATATATCCATGTATATAATAGACTTTGATCCTATCACTCTTCCTCTTTACTCTCTCTCATTTTCCTCCCTTGTTTCCCTTCTCTTCCTAAATAGAGCCTTTGTTCTCTCTCATCTTTGAGACATAGGCCTGCCTGCCCTGGAACCCACTGTATAGATCAGGCTATTGTCAAACTTGACCACAGATGTCTACCTTTCTCTGCCTCCTGAGTGTTGGTGTTACAGTCCTGTGGCACCATAGATGGCTCAGATTGAAATGACTAAGACAATGGCATCTTGTCACAACTTTCTTTTGCAGCTGCTTAGACACTTCTCAGCCTTCTACCCAGCCACCCAACAGCTGCATCCACCGTGCCAACATCTTTGTCTGTGACTCTAACCATGGTCCAGACAGATTAATAACAACAACAAAAAAATTGATGCTTGTGCAAGTTAAAACTTAAAACTAAACTAAGAGGCCACGTGAATCAAAGATAATTGTCATTTGGTATCTGGAAAACACTGCTGAGTTTTACAAGAAAACAGATGTTACTAGCTATTTCAAATCCTTCACTGATGTGACCATTGTCCTCCCCTCCCCGCCCCCAACTGATGCAATTGTGGCTTTTGTCTTTAAAAATACTGGACACCTGAGCTTGGGCACTAAGAGACATTTTGGAGGCACAAGCCCACTCTTGGTCTGGCCATTAATAAAAGAACTCCTAGAGTTTTAAATGGCTGTCAGTAGCTCGCATAAGTCATTTCAGGATAAGCACATTTAATGCCCCGTCTGAAGGTCTGTGAAACTAGACTTAACACAAACGAGATTAAGCCCTAACTTTGCAACTTACTGAGAGAACCTGAGAGGTTTAAATCTTCTGCATGTCAATTGCTTCACAGGTACAATTCGAGATATTTTGATCTTTTACTCCTTTTGTGAAGGTCATATTTGGGAATCTATGTAAGGTGTTTAATACAAAGCTTGAAAATTAGCGAACTACAGATTTTACTAAGTGAAATGAGAACCTGTCAGTGAGCTTTGGTGACAGTGGCTGGGTCACCCACAACACCACACAATCACCTATTGGTGTGGGGGTGGGGGACAGGTGTGAGCCAGACCTTGGAGTGTCTCACACTCCTTCCCGCTGGAAACAGAGGGTGACATCCTTTCAGCAACTCCTAGTCTGGGCCTCCAGCAGAGCCCAACCATTTCATCCAGCATCCAGATTTGTCTCAGCTTCTTTCTTTCTTTCTTTCCTTCTTTCCTTCTTTCCTTCTTTCTTTCTTTCTTTCTTTCTTTCTTTCTTTCTTTCTTTCTTTCTTTCTTTCTTTCTTTCTTTCTCTCTCTTTCTCCTTCCTCCCTCCCTCCCTCCCTTCCTTCCTTCCTTCTTTCCTTCCTTCTTCTCTTTTCTCTCTCTCTCTTTTCTTTTTTAAGAGCAGTGCCATTGTTAAAGACTACTCATATGCTGAACCAAAGGCAGAAGGATTGTGGGGGGAAACTACTCCAGAAGCCAGGGGATGGTCATCCCAGCCTGAGGTATAGTAAGAGCAGGAGATGGTAGCTGCTGGCCTTTGGCTCTCCCTCAGCCCCACTGGTTCAAAGCAGTCACACTGTGTGGGTGTGACGGAAGAAGTGACACCTGTTTATTGAGTCACTGCCACAGAATGTGACTGTAAGCCACAGACATGGTTTTGTGCCTGTGTGTCAGCTGAGAAAGAGCCCCCTAAGCAGTTCCTCAGTTCCTTTTCCAGGGAGGTTACTAGGAGGCTTAGGCAGCATGATGCGGGCTGGATATTATTTCACAAAATGCAAGACTTTTCTTCCTTGGGTAGCTTAACAATAGCCCAAAGGTTTTGTCCACTTAGTTAATCTTACAGGCCCCCCAAACAAACCCAGGTGCTTCTGATTTGTTATTCACAGGAATCCTTTTCTGCCCTGAATAGTTTAAGCAAATATATATCTTATCATGTAAATGGATTAAGGTTCTAAACAGGAGTGGGGGGAGCTCCCTTTGGGGGGGGTGTCTTTCATTCAAACAAACCTAATGTCCTGGCCAACCCATTGCCACTCTAACCCTTGAGGGCCCCGTGTCATAGGAACTGATGTCACAATTAGTGTCTGAGTTTGGCCTCCCAAAATGGCCATTTTAGTTTAGACTAGACCTCAAAGTTCACCAGTCAGGAAGTGCCATGCTGGGCCACACACCATCTGGTCTGGAATGAAGCCAGGGATCCCCAGGACTCTGCAAATAGACCCAGGCCTTCTAATAACCACCCCACCACCCGCAGTCAAGGCGGCCCAGGATGATTGTTGTCTTATGGATGGTTCTCATTGCAGGAACGATGTGGAAGGGATATAAGTATCCCCCAGGAGGGGTAAGTGTACTTTTGACTTCTTTACTGCTTGAGAGTCATTAACACAGGAAAGCATGAAAATCTAACCCTAGTGACTTTAGAAACAGATTCTCTCCAGTTTTCGAGAAAAAGTTTTTGTAATTTACCTCCTCCTCCTGTGGGCTACTCAGAACTGGGAGCTTGACAGACAGGCTTCATTCATGTACTTTTAAGGAGCAGATGTCTCTCACACAGCCTAGGATGGTCTCGAGTTAGCAATGGAACCAAGGCTGCCTTGGTCCTCCTGCCTCTGCATCCTGACTGCTGAGGTGATGCGGTGCTAGGATCAGACCAGGGCTTCCCGAATGGTAGGCATTTACCATCTGAGCCACACCCAGCTTCCCATGTTCTTTCTTACTTTTATTCAAGAATGGAGGTAAAGAGTATTTGTGACCTAGGGTCAACACTAATCTCTGTAAAGCTGACAGGATGTTTAAAATGTTTAGCCTTCAGCATTATTTCTGCAAACCAACCCAGGGGGGTTCTGGTGGCAGACATCTCTGCACTCTGTCAGTTCCCCATAGTGCTGAGCACCTCCAGGATCAGATAGCATCCTCTTCTAGTCTTTAGCAACTGCCTCAGCTCCACATGCAAGCAATGCTGAAACCTCCTGACATATGCTTTTCTCCCCACCCAGACCCCTCTGGAAGTAAACAAAGATGACCCTGGTGAACCCATGCAGCTGTGAAGATCACCCATCTGCACAGTTCCTGTTGTAGGTTTCGCATAAAGTAATCGCACATTATTTTGTCATATTCTGTGTAGTTACCACACTTTTTAAGAAGAATATTCTAATGGGGAATGAGGGTGAGTGGGCAGGTGGGGTGAATGGGTGATGACCATGTTCTATTTGTTGGAGCCTCTAAAACTGAGACAACTAGTTTAAATTATCCTGTTCTATAATCTTAAATAATGATTTTTAGGCTCACTTCCCAAATAGTATACTCCAAGTCCAGGCAGGTAAAAACTACCCTGTGCAGGGGGTGGGTGTGGGGGGGGAGGTTGGGGAGGTGTAGGGGGAGTTGTGGGGGAGTGAACCCAAAAATAATGGTTAGTTGTGGGTGTTTGGTGGGGGGGTTTGGGGGGTGT